CAGGAATGCTTGAGACATCACCTGTTCGGGATCTTGGCAGGATCTCAACAAAATTCACACCCAGTCCAAATCTGGACTGCAAATTGCCATTTAACTGCTAGTTCCGCACCTTAAAATCAGGGCTGAGCTTGATGAAGATGCTGGTTTTCTTGTCCCACATGAGGATCAGTCCGCTCATGGTCTCAATTACCATGTACATACCCATATAGCGGACTGTGTATGGCACCTTATCATTTTGTCCTCTCTTTACAACACTGACATGCTCCTCACCAAGTATCAGTTCATAGCCCTGAAACAGGAGGAAAAGGTGATGAGAAATTAAATCAATAGCTGCAGCTGTGCTCTTAAACATGTTTTTCTGCTTTTAAGAGTACTATGAATAGTTTATATAATGAAAACAAACAATCCAAATGCGATAACTCAAAACTGTGTAGTTCAAATCTCAGGTTCCTGGAACTGTGGTAAAAAGGTATTTATAGGGTGGGAAATGGAAAAGATAGAAAACTGGGAAGCTCTACCAAGTATGTCACTTGAATCTGATATAAGCTTAATTTACAAGTTTATTTGCTTTTTAAAATCTTTTTCCAACTTCATTGAAGCAATGGATATCTAGACTTCTCCTAAGCCCTAAACAGATACAGAACAAAACTGGTCTATACGCAAAACCTTCTTACCTCTAAGAAAACTTTTATAGATTTTGAGCATGTTGTCCCGGTGTTGCCACAAGGAATATTTTCAGTGATAACCCTGAAGGTCCCATTGGCTGTGCCACTCTTCCCACAGTGGTCCTGGGTAGAGAATAACATTTAAAAATATATTATTTTTGTAGACACAACCAAGGTTATGTCTCATTTACTATGGCTAATTATCAGTACCTGGACTAGTGTGTATTCACAGTTTCCATTGAAGCTGAACCTTTTGTCATCAAAGGTATTATAATGACCGTCTCCATAAACAGCACAAGTGCCCAGACATTGATCTTCGGTGCATTCCCACTTCCTATTCTTGCATACACTAGGAATGAGAATAAAACATTTTAATAATGAAACAACTCACTGTTTTGTGTAGACATATTCCAACAACTCAGTATTTTTTTGGCAGCTCATCCCTGGTAAGTGTATTTATTCTGGAGTTAAAATAGTCTTTTACATTTTTCATGTAAAGAATTAAAGCAAAGTTCTGTTCTGCTACTCTGAATGCATTAACTGCAAAATAGAATAATACTTAATGAACACTGTAGTCCCAAAGATTTCCTCCCATTCTGTGCTTTGGCCGTCTGCCTACATGAGAAGGAAAACTGCTCATACTGTTTAATCCAAAACTAAAAGAACCATCAGTTGATGAAAAGTGCAATCCAAATCTTTCCTCACTGCTGTACTATTTAAGATCTTTGGAAAGGCAAATGATGGAACCAGGAATGCTACTTCCAAGGAAATATTTACCAGGTGTTACAGTCAACGTTGATCTTTTCCCCAGGCTGATACATGGCTTCATTGTGAATACATGGACATTCTTCTTCAGGTATACAAGCACCATTCCTATCTAACACAAGCCCAGCTGGGCACACACAGCCAGATCTACATTGCGTGCTATACTGGAAAAGTCAAGAGGAAGGTACAATTTCAGAATGAAATAATCAGAACAGAAAAAGGAAGATTAAATTCTTATGAAATGCCTTTATAGGGTCTTATTGCTGCCCAGCTTAAGGGAGAGAGGACTACAAAGTACTTATAGGACAATGGAAAAAAAAGGAAGTTATTAGCCATTGATTTAATAGAATATAAATCTGTAAAGATAAATGTTTTATGTATGCCAATTCTGATTGCTCTGCTAGACTCTGTGAAATCTGAAATACGTTAATCTTAATTCTTGCACTGTGTTAGCCAAAGAAGCCTTGCACTTTGTAGTGGGTGATTTGTGATTGAATGGAGCTTTAAAAAGAAAATAAGTAATATTTTTTCAGTTTGGTTGAGTTACACTGAAATCTGTTTATCTCATATGGTACTTATTCATGAAAAGGCACGTGGCTACCATGCACCTAGGTGGAGTAATATAACTAGATGTGCACGAAGTTCACAATTGTGTCATGGTATGAGAAAGAATGATTTCTCCTAGCCAGTTCATAGCCAGTAATTTTCTCCTAAAGAAGTAAAATGTGTGGCAGGGCCCTAGAAATTTTCACTACTAATTACTGTTACCTGCAGTAGCTGAAGAAAGGTAGACACTAATCTTATGAATTAAATTGGATGTTCCTTTATTATATTTTGGTGTAAGGGTCCCATTGGTAATGCTTTATAACATGGTTTTAGGTTTTTGGTACAAGAACAAAGTATCTGTGTTGTAGAGTTGGAGTAGATCAGATAGATCACTCACTCCCTTTAGCACAAAGAGCACAGACAAAACCCAGAAGCACCATTTCATCCAGCCATGACATACTTACACACTGCACATCCAGAGTCTGGCAACTTTTTTGACATTCTGCTCCATTTGCTCCTGCAGTGATGTTTCTACAGTCAAAGTAGACCATGGGAGATTCACAGACTAGAGGAAAGAAAGAAGTGAGAGCAGTAAGAAAAGGCACAGGGTTTATCCCACAGCTGCAGCCATTAAAACCACCAAGAAATTATTTGGAAAATGCATATTTCAATTAGTAGGGATTGCTGTCCCTATTCAATCTGCTAAATAGATTTGCTTCAGAGCACTGAATTCCCAGAAAAAAACCCCACAGTATTTCAGAAAAAAATCTTTATGAAAAAGAGGTCTTCTCATTAATCTAGGTTCCTTTCTGCCTTTTATGATAACTGTTGTACTATAACTAAATGAGAAATACTTGTATTATTTAAAAATCCATTAAAAAAAAATTGTATCAACTATTTCTGTCCAAAACCTGGCACAGAGGAAAAGATAAGTGGAAGACTTTTTTTTTTTACCTGGAGTTGGATTGGGTGCTCCAATGCAATTCAGTCTTCCCTGGATGCAAGAGCTGTAAGAGAGGGAAAAACATATTTTATTTTTTCTTCTCAAATCATGTACTGAGATTGAGAGCTACTTCTCTCTTGTCAAGTTTCAGAATTTTTGAAGGAATTCCGGAATGCTGTTTTGCAGTCTCAGGGAAGAATTTCCCTCAATACTACTACTAGTGCTGCTTTCATATGATATCCATTATTGCTTAACAGGAAAAATCAGTATATATATGAAATGAGTACATGTCTCTGCTTGTTACTTTCTCATCAAATCTCCCCTTGCTGCTGTTGTCATAACTTTATGCTTGAAAAATCATGGAATTAAAGAGAAAATGCACCTAAATACAATTGCTTTATCAATCTGGAAATATAGAATCATAGAATCATGTAGGTTGGAAAAGACCCTTAAGATCATCAAGTCCACCTGTAAACCTAGCGCTGCCAAGTCCACCACTAAACCATGTCCCTAAGCATGACACTTACACATCTTTTAAATACGTCTAGGGGTGGAGACTCAACCTCTTCCCTGGGCAGCCTGTTCCAGTGCCTGACTACCCTTTCGGTGAAGAAATTTTTCCTAATATCCAATCTAAACCTCCCCTGGCGCAACTTGAGGCCATTTCCTCTCATCCCATCACTTGCTACTTGGGAGAGAAGACTGACCCCCACGTCACTACAGCCTGCTTTCAGGTAGTTGTAGAGAGCGATAAGGTCTCCCTTGAGCCTCCTTTTCTCCAGGCTAAACAACCCCAGCTCCCTCAGCTGCTCCTCAGAAGACTTGTTCTCTAGACCCTTCACCAGCTTCGTTGCCCTTCTCTGGACACGCTCCAGCACCTCAATGTCTTTCTTGTAGTGAGGGGCCCAAAACTGAACGCAGTACTTGAGGTGCGGCCTCACCAGTGCCTAGTACAGGGGCACTGTCACCTCCCTGGTCCTGCTGGCCACACTGTTTCTGATACAAGCCAGGATGCCATTGGCCTTCTTGGCCACCTGGGCACACTGCTGGCTCATATTCAGCTGGCTGTCGACCAACACCCCCAGGTCCTTTTCCGCCAGGCAGCTCTCCAGCCACCCTTCCCCAAGCCTGTAGCGTTGCATGGGGTTGTTGTGACCCAAGTGCAGGACCCGGCACTTGGCCTTGTTGAACCTC